ACAATCTTATTAGTGAAAGAATCATGAATTATAGTATTGTTACAATGATATTTAGCTTTATATTTATGAATAGGATGATTAGTCTTCCCATATCGTGAATAAGACTTATGAAAAGTAGAGCTAGTATTTTTTTGAGGAGCAACAGTGATAATAGTATCGGCACTATGGGTTTGGCTCATACCAACTAAGTTTCTTCATATATCAATTCCATAATGGCATTATCCATAATTGGTAAGGAATGTCGGTGCGAAAGTAAGGACCTAGTATTCTCAAATTCATATCGAAGTGCCATTAAAAATTGAATAAAATAAACTTGATTTTGATAAGTAATAAAATTATTAGCATCAGTTTAATCCTTGAATTTTGGCTCAAAATTTTCAAGCATATCCCATAAATGTTGCATATTAGAATGAAAATCATCAATCGACTGACCTAATTATTGATGAAAGTGAGATAAAGTGATCAAAATATGATATTGATGAGCAATGATAATAGAGCTATACTGTGTGGCAAAAAAATCTCAAGCATCTTTAGCAAGTTCAAATCGCCCAAATGTACATTGATAGAAGAAACAGTGGTGATAATGAACTATGTCAGAATTCGATAATTCTCACTTTTCCATTCCTTTAGTTGATCTGCAAATTTATAATCGAATTTTTCTTTTTTTTTTTGGTACTTTATGTTCTTTGGTAACAACAAGCTATAATTTCATTATCTTTAGATAACTTTGCATAGCAGTGGTCCACTTATTGTAGTTATTTTCATCAAAGATAATTGAAATTGGTTTTACATTTTCTTATTAAATACATGTCATTAAGCTCTAAAAAAATGAAATGGAGATAAGAAAAGTTTTGAATATTGATATAAAAGATGAATCTTGAATATGAGAAGAGAAACTAAAAAAAAAAAATTGAAGCACAGAAGCAAAAATAAAGTTAGAAATGAAAATCAACCAATAATAAAAATTAACAAATATTAGTTATTTTAATATTATTTACCTTCGAAATGAATCATGAAATCGCTTAATACTATAAAGAAAATGATGAAAACATTATTATAATGACTTATGTTTTATAATAAAGATTAAAACTTATTTATATAGAAGTAAACTATTATAAAATAGAAAAGCATAATAAATAAAAATAATGATTAAATCATTTCTTATAATCAACTAAATCAATATCCAATATTTTTTAATTTAATATCAAATTAATATTTAATATTCTTTAAATAAATATAAAATTAATTTAAAATATTATTAAAATAATATTATTATGTTAAAATATTATCAAAATATTACTAAAATATCATTGATAGGAAACACTAGGTAAAAATATCATCTTCTTCTGTTAACAAATAAAAAAAAACACAGAAAAACCATATTTTTCTACACTTCCCTTTCATTCTATGTACATTTTCTACATGAGATCTTTCCTTGCATTAGTTTTTCTCTCTCTTTCATGTCCTGTTCCGAACTGACAAGCAAGACACAGTAGAGGACAGCCGGGAAAAATCAGTTGCTAAGGCAGTGCTACCACTCTTAAACAGTACTACCCTGGTTGTTCAATATCTTTAGTAAAAATCACATAACTGTCAACTGGAGTTTACTTCATGTGTGAGAGGCTAAACATAGTTTAACTCGAGGGCTGGGTTCTCAAACCTGTTGTCAGACATTTGATGATCTTTGTCTGTGAGAACAATTACATGAAGGTTCATTCTCTGGGTCTTACAAATGTAAGGTTTACCAAAACAAACCCAATGAATTGTCATTGATGTCGATGGAGAAGAAGAGCAAGCAAACCAGACAGATAATGAGGAACAAGAAGGCAGCAGGTGTTCCTCTTCTTCAACTGACGAAGACTGTGGGACAACTGAGATCATCAAGGAGAAGGGATCTTCTGTGTTAGAGACTTCTTTTCCGGAAGTGGATCTGGAGTCTGGGGTGACTGAAACATCTGGCAAAAGTGGAGAGAGATTGCGGGATTTGCCCTCTCGGCTTGGACCCAACTAATCAAGAATCTGGTGTTCCTATAGAGTTGGGTTGTTCTTGTAAGGATAATTTGGCTGCTGCCCATAAACATTGTGCTGAGGCATGGTTCAAAATTATGGGAAACGGGGTAAGTAATAGACGTAATGAAGATTTTGCTTCTTTATTTCTTTTAGTTTCTTAGGCAGTTTGTTTGTTTATAGGTTTCTGGAATGTTATCCCAGTGTTTTTGTCTTTATTGTCGTGATTTATTCTTCTGGATATGTTGTGTTTCTGGAACTTTTATTCTTGCTGTAGAGTGTAGAGTACCAACTGCTTAAATTTTAGGAATTTGGGAATGAAATATCACTGGAAATGCAAGGCTTATCAAAACTGTGCACTATATTCCCTTGAAGATTGTAAATTGTAAAATTGGTCAGCTGGATCCATGGCTGCTTTTTGAGGTAGTAATGGCTTATTTTTTGTGCTGATGTTCTTGGCTTTTGACTTCTATGCCTTTTGGTTTGTTCAGTGAGAAAATGTGGAGGAATCTTTTTTTGTAAATGCAGGCTAGAGGACTGTGCTTAATGCAAAAAATACAATAGTCGGAATCTAAACAAGAATAACATCTCTGCTTTGTTGGAATAAAAAGAAAAGCTTAAAGGCTTGTCATATACTAAATAAGGGGAATCAAATGTTAAGCATAAATCAAAATATGGAATCACCAGAATTTTTTTTTCATTTAGTTACAGCTCTGAGAATTATTCTTTTCCCATTCTGTTTTTATGTTGATATTTAAAATATATCAATAGATGAATGCTTTGTTTCCTTTTTTTTTTTTTTTAACCCAGAATGCTGCTGTTTAAAACTTTATGAACCTACATCAACAAGGCCACTTTTTGCATCTTTTTTTATATGCTTTAGCATGCCGTTTTTAATCCAAAACGTAAGTTGTTTTAATATGTTGTCTTGTCAAGAAAGATGAACCAAAGAAAGTTGGTTTCGCTTCAAAGGTGCAATAATCGAATAAAGAAAGGTTTTAGCTGAATATGAAAATGCTGTACACTTGAGATTTATCTATATAATTATGATAAGTGCTGTTGCATCATAGATTCATATGCATTATTTATGACAATGAAGAATTTGATAATTTGCTAGTTGTCAACAAAGGATTCACATTAATTGATTGGAAACAGTCAATTCATCAGCATATTTTTGCATTTTTATGGTATCCTAACAATTAAATTGATGCGCTCAAAATATTTCATTGTTGTCTTTCTTTGAATTCAGTCTGAATATGGTCCATTATTTTCAAGTTTATTTGATAGAAAAAGGCATGATACTGAACACGTTGATTGCCCAACATCACATAGATGTTGCTCTCAATCTCTTCCACCACCTTTGTCTAAGGCATTAGTTGACAGGCCTCTTTTCTATGTTTTGGTTTTTCTAATTAAGTTGGATTGAAGATAGATATAAGCAGCTAATACATGGCAGCCAATATGAACTTGCTCCCTCAGTGGTTTAAATTTGAAAGTGAATTTTCATACCATCAAACACCTCTCTTCAATGTATGTAAGAAGGGTGAAGAAAGAAGACCAGGGCTCTAACTATGAGTTTAATTTGTTTAGTGAGGGATTTTTTTGGGTGTGTGTATACGAAACAATTTTGCAGTGGCTGTGGTCACCAGAGGTGATGAATTATCACTATGAAACATTGGATATATTGTATCCTACGCATTATAAAAGTTATTTTCGAAAAAAGTTTTCATTGTGCCTGAGTTTGCTTTAATAGAATATTAAATGGTATCCATGACGAATTTCCAGTTGCATTGCAGAATTTTTTGAATGTTACCTTTTTTTTTTAATTTGTTTTGCCTAATTTGTATGTTTATCTTATATGTCTTGATCCATTAATTCCCATACTATATTTTGCAATATACATTCCTTTGATGAACATTCTGTATCTTATAAGCTTCTATTGTTATAATAATTTTTCTTCTAATTGCCTATTCTTAGAACTTGTGAGATTTGTGGATCAACTGCTCGAAATGTTGCTGCTGCAAATGAGACAAACATGACTGAGCAGTGGAACGAGGTAAATGATTCCAGAGTAGCTCCTATCACAACACGAAGCTTATGGCAGGGTCACTGGTTTCTAAATTTCCTGCTAGCTTGTATTGTGTTTGCTTTTGTAGTCTCTTGGCTCTTTCTTTCACTTCAATATACCAACGTGAAAGCCTATAGCAAAATTTTGTGAGGGTCGTTTTAGATGTGACGAGCAAAAAGTGGACAAGCCTCTCTATTTATGATGGCACTCCATCTCACCGATAGTTACTGTTCATATTAGTATCAGAGCTTGAACAACCTGTGTAATTTATGCTGTGTTTTTTGTTGGATTTATTTCACACAAGGAATGTTATCAAACTCATTTAATTGATATTTGCATTGCAGCATTTGTACAATCGTACGTCTTCTCCTTTCCTTCATTATTGCTTCCTTTTGACCTCTTCTTAAATGTGATAAGCAATTTGGAAGTTTGTGAGTTCAGTATGTGAATGAGATGTACATATGTTGTCACGGATTCTGATACTATTCAGTACTAAAAACAAAATACTAATAGATTGAGGGTTGAATTGCTTCAAGTTAAAGAATAGGGTTTAATCGAACATTTTAGTGTAATTTGAAGGCTTTTTTTTATTTTTTTTATTATTTTTAGCATTATGCCATTCTAAAACTTAGCCAGATGTACGAAACAAAGAAAACTAACAAGTAAAGAAATTGCTTATGCATAAGAACATATTAAAAATACTAGGAGACATTGGAACTAAAACATACCGAAAACCCTTCAAGGGAAGGATTCAATACCGAAAATGGTATATCCAAATTCCAAAATATAACACAATTTTTCAAGACAAAATATATCGATTCCTAAACTAGACATTCCCATTTATAAGTTTCAGAAGCATAAAGCTAAACCCAGCAGCACGGATTATCATACTTTCTTAACATTTGATTTAATGAACGTCCTCGATCTTGGGAACTGCATTTTTTTAAATTGTTTTCAACAAAATATTGTAAAGTAGAACTTTTACAAAATATGGTAGAACAACTCAAAATTTAGCATTTCATCTGCACAGCAAACAGATACATATTTTGCAGTGTTAATATTTACAAAATTATAGAAATCAAATTTACAACTCTTCATCATCCGAGGATTCCTCACATTCATCAACATCAATAGCAACTATTTTGGAACCACTAACCCTAGTAGAACCATTTCTAAGCTTGAATGGCAACCTTATATTACTTGAGACAATCCCATAGCCTTCCTCTTCTTTCTTCAAGTCACCAGGAGGCAAGAAACAATCAATAGCCAGTCCCTTTATGTTAAAATCCACTTCTTCAATTGTCCAAGCCTCTTCCATTCTTGTCCTGGAATGACTCTCAGAGTTCTCTCCAAACCTGAACAATGACACCAATGTCTTGCCAGCATGTGCAATGTTGATGCCATCTATGGTTTTATAGTCTTGAATCCAGGATTCCATTGTGGTTTCCCAAAAAATGCTGCCATTTCTAGGGGCTTTAATTCTTAGAAGATGAGAGTCTTCGAGTTGGACTAAGAGGCCTGTTCTTTGGCTGAAGTAGCCCCAAACTGTGTGCCGGATTATTTCTACATTGCTGCTGCTTCTAGTTCTTAGTGTTGAAGATTCAGCCTCTAGTTTTAGGTTCAAACAATCCTCATCATTGATCGTTTTTTCACCAACACAAACAGAATTGGAGAACAAATTTGCTGTTGACCTTGGATCAAGACCCTGGCAAGTGGAATGCAATGATTTTTAGTGAATAAATCAAAATGAAACAGGGAAAAAATGCAGACTAGTGACAAGTGACCTTTGAATCAATTTGGGTTTTGGACCTTTCGGTATGTGCAACTGTTGTTAGGATCCTTACGGGTAAGAAACTATTGATATGATATTTTGTTAAGGAATGGACCGGTGTAGTGAACCTACATGGTGTGCGGAGCTAACTTACTGGGCCATAAACCACGTTGAAGTGGGTCATATGTTAAGTAGAAGGTCAAAAGTTTATTAATAATTGTTCACATGAAACTTTGGCCCAAATTTTCAAAAAGTAAAAAATAGATTATTTGATTCAACTAGACCTGAAAACAAGGTAACCAATACATATAGAGAAAAAGGAAAGGTCAAAAACCATAAAAATCAGTGAAAACCAGAAATAGTAATTACCCCCAAAGGTCGAATCAGAACATTTAATACAGATAATGAGAATAAAATTAATCAATCCCAGGAATCATTTTCCAGAACAATCTGAGCTTGATGCTTTAACAGTGAGATATATGAAAGAGATTGGGTACCTGCAAGAAGCGCCTAAGAGGCCTAGGAGGGCCTCTGGAAGCATGAGAATGGTGCCATGGGGTCTGTCTCCAGGCCACTTTTCCATCACTGCCTGCACTGATTTTCCAGCCTGAAACCACCAATTCCAGGCACCAAAGATCAGGCCTTTTCTGCCATAACACAAAACCACCCACCTCTCCACCACCATTTCTTAAATTTCTCACTTTAACAATCTTGTTATTCAGACTGCCATCCCCAGCACTGAACTCTGATGCTGCCATTTTCACCTTTCCCATTGCATAGATGCTGTCTATAGAATTCAGAGCTTTCTCTCCACCAACAGCTGCTATGTATTGCTTCACTATGTATTTTGCCATTGAAGATTCCTGAATATACCAAAAAAAAAAAAAGTTTGTAAAAAGGATTGATATTAAACCTTGATTAAATTCTAAGTAATAACTTGATTGGTGCCTTACAATGGGATGATCCTTGATGTTTTTGCTGATGGAATTGTCATGGTCATACTTGATAGGAAGAGGGATCAAAGGAGCTCCAATGACTCCAAGCAAAAGCTGAATCTCCGTGCTTCTTCCTCCAAAAAGAGCTGTCATGGAAGCTGGAGACCTCTCGGAATTTGGTTTCATATTCGTCCATGACTTCATGTGCTGCCATGATCTGTGACCATTCTTGTTTGAAACAAACATCTCTTCAGGGATTGGAACTTCCAGGACGGTATCCAACCCATCTGGAAGATCAAAATTTGGACGAACTTTCCTCATTAGAAAAAATGGAAAAAACAAAGCAAAGAAATGTTAATTATTTTATGGCACAGAAAGAAAGGAGAAGTAGGGAAAGAGAGGGAGCGATGGGGGTTTTGCTTTGAGAGAAGTGAAACAAAGTACAAAAGAAAGAGTCTTGGATTCAAAGACAGAGAGAAGGTGAAGCTAGCTGGTGAACAATGAACATCAACAACCGACCATTTGGCTCCCTTCTAACGTGGCCCGCTTTTGTCTCAGTCGTGTTTGCACGCTCTCTCTCTCTTTGTTTCATGAAAATTTATTTGACAAATCTTGATTAATTAACAAATTAAAATAAATACAAACCTTACTCTTGTTATTTTGGCTTTATAACGCCAAATCCATATGATGTCAGATTAAGTCATTCATTACGAGGTAAACTTTATTCATAGTCCTTTTTATTTTTTTTTAGTGTTGATTTCCTTGTAGTCTCTAGCTTCTGAATTGTACATTTATACCCTTAATCTTTTAAAGTGATTCTATTTGTGGTTCCTTTTTCTGGTTACATTGTTTTCTTAACAATTGAGAAAAAAGTTCACTAAATATCAAAAGAATATATGTTCGGATGACGTACCATGTAATTTACAACGTGAATTACGTCGATTTTAATAAATCAATTTGACAAAATGATCAAAATGAAATCATTTTAAAAAGTTAAGAATTCAAATAAAAAATCAAAAATTAAGAATTAAAGTGAAACCAAAACAAAATATCAAGGACTATAAGTGACATTTTCTTGCTTATTTTATTAAGTGTCTTTTTTTTTTTAAGTTCTAACTGTATTGGTTTTTCATCGTTTGCTTAAGACTCCTGTATTTAATCCATAAGAAATATAGTTAAAAAATCTATAAGAAATAAAGCATTTCCAAGTTTTTTGACTTAAAAACAGGTAGAAAATGGAGCTGACATTCACATTGGGATGATATAAATAAATGGTTTTGATCCTTTAATTTAATAGTATTAATAATTTTGCTTCTTTGAAAGATTTTCATCAGGGAAATCTACAAGTGACTGAGCAATGTGAGGTTGAGCTATGTACTGACCATCTTTTAGATGCATGTTTAAGAAATCAATTTCTGTAGCACCAATGATCATCTTTTTCTCTGAGAGCATTATCCCATACTGTTGAACAATTTGCTGGAACTTATCCAATAACTGTGTATGAGATGTGACATCTGGAGAGAACAGTAAGATATCATTAATGTAAATCAAAGCATTATCAAGAATTGGAGCCAATATCTTGGTCATGGCTTTCTGGAACAGTAAAGGAGCAACTTTTAATCCAAAAGGCATTACTGTCCACTGAAAATGGTGTTGAGGAATGTAAAATGTCGTTTGTATTTGTCTTGTGGATGTATGTATACCTAGTTGCCAAAATCCTGCTTTGAGGTCAAATTTTGAGAAGACTTTTGCATTTGCCAAATTTGCAAGCAAAGTTTTTCTGTCTGGAAGAGGAAACTTATCATCTGCAAGGAAAATGTTAAGAGGCTTGTAATTAATTACCAATCTTAATTTTTCACGAACTTGTTTTGAACGTTTGTTGACATAAAATGCTTCACATGCCCATAGAGAAGATGTTGGTTCAATTAATCCTTGAGCCTAGAGAAGGGAGCATTCTTGGATTGCTTGCTTGAAATGAGCTGAGTTCATGCCTGAATGACTAGCTTTTGTAGGATTGACATTTTCATCTCTTTTGAAGGGAAGGAAAATGAAAAATTCAGGGTTTTTCCAAAGTAGGTGGTCACATTTTTGGAGGAAATCTAAATGATTTTCTGCACACAAAAAGTGAATGAACTTGTGTCTGAATTCTTGAAAAACATCTGGTTGAATGGTTAGGGTGAAGAGATTGGGAAGGTTTTTCCAAGGTCTAAAATAACTTTCAAACTTGATACCTTTTTCACTAAGCTTTAAACCTGGTATACTGATAATGATATCAAAACCAATAACAAGGTCTTTCTGGAGAAGTGGAGATCCTAAAATCTTTTGAGTTATTTGACAACCCGGTAAGATTTAAAGGGTAACAGGGTTGCTAATAAAATCTGTAAAAAATACAATCTCATCAGCGGTTTTGAAGAAAGTTTTCTGTTTTGTCCAAAGGTTTTTGGGTAAGACAAGAGGGTTTGCTATGGTTTGGGCTGCACCAGTGTAAAAAAAAACTGTGACTGTTATAGGAGGGAAATGTTTGTAAAGAAAGATCTGAACTGAAGCTAAGGGCAATCTTGGAGGTTGGAGAGTTTGGATTTTTTGGAGTTCTTGGACTGACATATACTCATAACGTTGATCATCTGTGAAATCATCTGAGTATTCTGAGTAGTCTGATTCTGTAAACTCATCATCATCAAACTGTTTGATCATAAACAGGGATCTTTCATTCTGCTCATCATCAAAGGAGAAAATTGATTCAAGATCATCATCTAAGAGATTGATACCTGAGATATTAGTAATGTCTTGGATCATCTTCACTGATTTTTTGTTTGACTTTGGGCAGTTCTTTGAAAAATATCTTGGTTTTCCACAAAGAAAATATTTGGAACTTTTGATCTTTGGATCTTTCTTCTTTCTTGCAAATTTAAATCTTTGAAATCTTCTAGGCTTATCAGCATATCTGAAAAGCTTCTTACGTCTGGGTCTGGAGAAAATTAGAGGTCTGAAAGTCAATGAGAAATTTTGACAATTAAAAGTAACAGAATATAGAAATTCTTTAGTTTAATTAAATCTCTGATCTATTCTTAAAGGAACTTCTTCCAAAGGTTGAGGCTTGAAAATGAAAGCCTGCTCAATAAGGTGAGCTTACTTCGACTATTAAGGGTCCGACAATATTTAGTATGGTCGTATTGTACAAAATACTTTCTTTTTGATTAGTTTTTATCTTAAGTGTGTGTATATAAATATAGATATATATATATATATATATAGATATAGATATATATAGATATTGACATCCCATTTTTCCACCATCTTTTTCACCTTGATTTCCTCCACTTCTTTAATTAAGTGAAATTCAGTTTTCACAGCTAATCAATACCCAATATTAGACCAAATTATTTTAACATAATAATTCAAATAGTTAGGGTTATATTAATTCCTTTGTTCTAATCTTTTATTTACTTTTTATGAGAAAGATTGTTCGATGTTAATTAAAAGTGATTAACTAAACAAACGAAAAAAATCATTAACTAAAAATAGTTTTAAAAAAAATCAAAATCACTAAATTGATAACACATTTATAGATTGTGTACATATAATATAACAATAAATTTTTACGCAAAATTGGATTTTTGTGAGAAACTTTTTAAAAATAAAAATTTAAATGCATTTGCTCAGAAAAAAAAAATTGCGACAGAACTTGGAATTCCCATGATTCGTCTTATCAAAAATAATAAACTCAATACAAAGAATTAGTTTGGGCGTGAAACTAAGATTTTTATCCAAATTTCATTTGACTTAAGTTTAAGTGATCACTTCAAATATAACAATGTATTATACATATAAACAAAAAGCATATGATCCTCAAAAATTACGAAAAGAAAAACGAAAAGGAACACTCTGACTCTGACACATTGCTCTCTTTGACAGCAGCAAATCTTAACCAAAACTTTAGGAAGGTTAATTGTATAAGAATGCCTTTTAAATTTTATCATCATTAACACCTTTGATCACCATTGAAAAAGTGGGCTGAACCATGCCTTATGCCGGAGCATGCGACAGACATCTTGATTGAGGTCGAGGCCATGGGGATTAGGGAGAAAAATATACATTAAATTTTCCTTCATCTGCCCGCATTTATCAAAACCCATATAGTTTAATTAAATTAGTCTCTAATTATATCTCGGATCACGACACATGAATTTCTAAACCCTTATTAATCAATTTATTTTTATTTTTAATGAGAGAAAATATGGATTGTGGCTGAAGAGAATGAATCCAATCTCTCTTGAAATCCTATAATGGAATGCACGTTCATTGAAATATTTTAATTTTTTTGGGGGGCAGGGGTTTGGTTTTTGGTTTTTATCCATGGTTGTGGTTTTGTTTTATTACAAAGATTCTCGGTATTCATTTGAATTCTATCGCGATTTCGATGTGGTGTAATTAAATTTGTTGGGTCAAATATTAATTTTAATTAAATTTATTTAGTATAAATTTTTAATTAAAATTTTTAATCGTAATTATAATATTTTTTTTGTAATTACAGTTATAATAATTATTATTATTATTTTTAATTTCATTATAATCAATTTTACTATTCATCTAAATAAAACTTTAATATAAAAAAATTGATATACATGTATATATATATATGTACGCATACGTGTATCCCTGCCAAACTAGCTTCAGAGGTAGTAAGACATTCTTTGTCTTGGATTGTTGGTAGTGAGGGACCTACATTACTGATTTCTGGATCTTTGTAAATAATTTTTGGATTTTACTGTGTAAACAACAAGTAAAGAATTAAACGAAATAAAATATCAGTTCTGATTTGAATTACATGTTTGTTCTTCTCCTCCAATTCTGTATATAATCACCTAATATTTACTACTTCTATCAGTTAGAACATTTTTGTAACTTAGAGAGTTTTTTATTAAGAATATTGACTCAAATCTCGTAAGAGATTTATTTGAAATTCGTTATATATTGTTTGATTGATAAAAAACTTGTAAAAGAAGAATTCTAAAAGAAAAAAAATTTTTAATAGGTAAGTTTGACTTATAATAGAAGAATTCAAAGAAGAAAAAAATTCTTAATAGGCAAATTTGACTTACAAGAAAAAAATTTTAAGAGGAAAGAGATTTTTAATGGATAAGTTTGTATGGTTATAAATAGGTGAAGTCTTTACAAGATTAGGTATGAAAAAAATATGTAAGAAAGTTGTAGTTTTTTGTGAGATAGACACTTCATAGGAGTATTGGGGCTCTACCTTTTATGAGTGTGTATGTTTGTTTGTGAATGAACTAGAAGAGACTGAAATGGTTCATATAAATATGATGTATGAGAGCATATCGGTATGTGTTTGATTATGTTGAAAGGATGCATAAGGGTTTGAATTTGAGTTTATTTGGGTTGAAAATACTTCATAGGACTAGAAGAGATTGAGAGTGTCTTATGAGTATTGATTGTTGAGTGAGATTGATGATTTGATGTATG